TGGGAAGATTCTCGCTTGGCCAGAGAGAACATAAGGGGTCGGTTGCGTGCAGTTAGGAGAGTTCAGTCCTGTTCTCCCAGGCCGTTGGACCCTCTTGGTACTGGTCCATACCCTATGAAGTGTTTTAGAAATCTTCTTTAGCATCAGGGAGCATAAAAACCAGACCTGTCCGATTCTGGTCTTGGCATGTGGGACATGGAGAATTAGAACTCGTGACCACACTCATGCAAGGCAGGTGTTCTCAGCCACAGTGCTCTACTGAAGCATTCCGCATGACTTTTGGTGTAAGAGTTTTATTATTATTATTAATGTTATTATTATTGTTGTTGTTATGATTGTTGTTATTATTATTATTGTTATGGGCCGGAGCGATAGCATAGAGGGTAGGGCATTTGCCTTGCACATGGCTGACTCAGGTTTGATTCCTCTGCCCCAATGGGAGGGTTACTGAGAGTATCCCACCCGCATGGCAGAGCCTGTCTTGCTCATTGTGGTGTATTCGATATGCCAAAAACAGTATCAACAAGTCTCACAATGGAGTCGTTATCAGTGCCCACTCGAACAAATCAATGAACAATGGGAGGACAGTGCTACAGTGCAGTGCTATCATTATTATTATTAGTTGGCTGGGGGCCACACCCAGTGATGTCCAAGGCTCTGCCTGAGAAATGACTTGTGGCGGTGCTAGGGGGACCATATCGGATATCAGGAATCTAACCCACGTCAGCAGCATGCAAGGCATATGTCCTACCCTCAGTACTATGCCCCAAAGGCTGTATTATTTGACCTACACTCCTTGTCACCCATTCTTTGCAATTCAATTAATGGGTGGCATAAAGAGAGATTATGCAATGGTCAAGCTTGCCTTGAATATGTCTGACCAAGTTCAATCCCCAGCCCTCCATATGGTGTCGTGAGCCCACCAAGAGTGATCCCTGGTGAAAGAGCCAGGAGTAAGAGAGGAAACCCTGAGCACAGCCAGGTTGGCCCCAACTCTACTCCTGCCCTCACAAAAGGGGTGCTAGTCCTACAGCACAACACTGACCAATCACTCTCAAAGGCCCAACCCTAAAACCATCACAGCCAGAGTTGGATTTTGCACAACATTTTTTGGCAATAACTATTCACTCACCAGCAATAGTTTCAGATTCATTTTGATTCACCTCGACATCAAACTCATCAAGAGCCTTGTGCATTGAATTTTGATATATGGATCACTTTGAAGCAGATAGGTTTTTCCATTTGTATTCCTCATTTATTTTGAGGGGCTGGGGTTTCCCCCACAGGACTGGAGCCAGCAGAGCAGGGCCAGGCTGTATCTAGGGGGCCATGGAAGGGACAGAGCCCTGGCCCCAAGCACAGCAGCGAGACATGAGCCCTCAATCAGTATTTGTACCCGTGAGGTGTTAGAAATTGCCTTTTCTTTTTTCATTTGTTGTTCATCCGTGGGTTGTTTATTCTGCATTGGCTTCTTTGTCGTGGTTGTTTTGGGGGCTACATGTTGGGATGCCCTGGGGGTAATCCTGGCTCAGGATTCAAGGCTTGCTCCCGAAAGTGTTCAGGGAGCCCTGCATAATTACTGTCTTTGCTGTTATTCTCTAGTTGAAGCACTGTCATAATTTCTTTTAGATTTTTTTGGACAGAAATGTGATATTTGGGCTGGAGTGATAGCACAGCGGGTAGGTTGTTTGCCTTGCAAGCGGCCCGACCCGGATTCGATTCCCAGCATCCCATATGGTCCGCCAAGCACACGGCCAGGAGTAATTCCTGAGTGCATGAACCAGGAGTAACCCTGTGCATCGCTGGGTGTGACCCAAAAAGCAAAGAAAAAAAATTAATGTGATAGTTGTTTCAAGGACCTTGTTTTCTAAAACCGCCATCTCAGATCATTTATAATAACTATACCCCAAGTGTATGATCACATTTTTCTGTTCTTTTGGAAACAGGTCGCACATATAGCATTTCTATGTTCAGATCTCCACTATTATCGGGTTGTGTGATTTTTTTTTTAATTTGGTTTATGTGCTGGAGCGATAGCACAGAGATAGGGCATTTTGTCTTGTACTCTGCCAACCTGGACGACACGAGTTTGATTCCTCCGCCCCTTTGAGAGCCTGGCAAGCTACCGAGAGTATCTTGCGTATCTTGCCTGCACGGCAAAGCCTGGCAAGCTTCTTATTTGATATACCAAACAACACAGTAACAACAAGTCTCACAATGGAGCCGTTACTGGGCCCACTTGATCACTTGACTTCCTGTTAATCATTGATTTCCTCGAGTGGGCGCCAGTAAGGTCTCCATTTTTCCCTCTCGCGTGCTAGTGTAGCCCAATGGCGTCTGTTCGTTCTAGGAACATGAAGAGCCTCAAACCGATCGTTCATGATCTTGATGAAGAAGTCTGACCATCTGGTAGGTGGGCGGCCATCGGTCTTTTGACATCTCATGGAATCCAGTCGTTAACAGCTCTAGTCCAGTGGTGGTCTTTAAATCTCATTACGTGACCAGCCCATCTGATTTTTGACACCTTGGCAAATGAGACAGTGTCCTTGATTCTTGATCATCGACGGATGTCGGAACTTCGGATTCTTTCTCTCATTTGAGTGAAACGTGATATTCCAAGCATAGCTCTTTCAATTCCTCTTTGGGAGACCCAAATAGCGTTCTCCTCCTGTTTGCGTAAGGCTCAGGTCTCTGAGGCATATGTTAATGCAGGAAGAACAGTGGAATCAAAGAGATGTGCCCGGAGCCGGATGTTCTTCGTCCTCTTAGCTATTTCTTTGACGCTCTTGAAGGCGTTCCAAGCTTCTCTCTTCCTCCTGCTCAGCTTCTGTGCCAGGTCTTTTGTCATGTTGAATTTTCGACCTAGGTACACATAGCTGTTCATTCAGAGATGGTCGTTCCGTTGAGAGCGAATGGGGCGTCAAGAACGAGACTGTTTCTCATAAACATTGTCTTCATAAGATTAAGCTATAGTCCGACATTTCCACACTCACGGTCGAAGTCGGCCAGCATTTGTGCCACTTGGCTGATGTTTGGTGTTATTAAAACAATGTCATCAGCAAAGCGGAGGTGGTATAGTTGCCGACCATCTATCTTCACTCCCATTCCTTCCCATTCCAGTCATTGCATGATGTTCTCGAGGGTGGCACTGAAGAGTTTCGGTGAAATGGTATCACCCTGCCGAACCCCTCTCTTGACATAGATGATTACCTCTTTGTAGAATGGTGAGATCCTGGTAGTGAATACGCAATGCAGCTCATGGAGGATCTTGATGTATTGAGCTTGAATGCCCTGATTGGCTAGGGCTTCAATGACTGCTTCCGTCTCAACAGAATCAAAAGCCTTCTTTAAATCAACGAACGTTAGACAGAGCGGCATCTTGAACTCCCGAGAAACCTCAATGAGCTTGGTTATCGTGTGGATATGGTCGATGTTGCTGAATCCTTTGCAGAACCCAGCTTGCTCGCTTGGTTGTCCTTCATCTAGTGTTCTGCCAATCCTATTTAGGATGACTCGAGTGAACAACTTGTAGATGACAGACAATAGGCAGATCGGGCGATAGTTGCCAATGTCATGGATGTCTCCCTTCTTGAACAGTAGTACAGTCCTGCTGGTTTTCCCCTGGGATGGAACCTTGCATTCAGACAGGCAGCGTGTGAAGAGTCAAGCCAGTGTATTGATGAGTACTGCTGGCAGGTTCTTCAGTTGTTCAGGTGTGACCTTGTCTGGGCCGGGTGCTGTTCGTTTCTTTACTGACGAAATGTCATGTCGGATTTCGGAAGGGAGAACATTGGGAACGACATATCCATCCTGTGGAATTTGGTATGTCAGCAAGTGGACATGGCTATCGAAGAGATTGGAGTAGAAGTCATGGATAATCTTCTCCATTGCCACTGAGCCCACTCGAGTAAATCAATGAATAATGGGAGAACAGTGCTACAGTGCTATTTGGTTAATGGGGGTGGTAGAACTGCACTCAGTGATACTCAGGGACGAACCCTGGCTCGGTGCTCAGGAGTGATTCCTGAAGAGCTCAAGGCACATTTTGTGTTGCTAGAAGCCAAGGGCTCTGGTTGCTTGCAAGTAGGGCAGGCACTTCATTTCCTGCACTGTGTCTCTGGTCCCGAGTTTGTAGGATTTACATGTGGGCAGTCAAGTGTGGTAACGTGCTGCTTAGATTGTGTTTGGTCTCTCTGGCTTTAAAGTACTCTTCGTTTGGCTCACAATTTGGGGAGTATTTCACCCCAGGGCCACCTGGAATGAGGCGCTCTTCACCCCCAGGTATTAAGCTCATCTGCACTAAACCTGGTAAAGCCCCACCTCTTGGAAACTGCATCTTCTGGCAACCAGAGAACTTACATTTGGCCCAGCCCAGAGACTCAATCAATAATCACGGTATTTTGAAGTCAACTTTCACATCATTCTTGGGCTTTATTTTGCTTCATGTGAACCCATTTGAGAGGGCAGAGCAAAGGTACAGCGGGTAGGGCACTTGCCTTGCACAAGGCTGACCTGGATTCAATCCCTGGCATCCTATCTCAAGCACTGTCAGGAGGAATTCCTGAGTGCAGAACCCCAGGAACCCCTGAGCATCTCTGAGTGTGGCCCCAAACCAAAAGAAAAAAATCACATCTTAGTCTCAGAAGGAAGAACTGCTTTTCCTCCAGAAGGAACAATTCTCCTCATACGTTAAAGAAACCCCGATAGAGCTGAGAATATTATTTCTCTTTTTGCTTATTTTAAGATTTTAGCCATTGTGACCAGCAAAGCTGGTGTGAAGAGTTGATCTCTCAGTCAACTAGGGAGGGTCTCTTGGGAGGGTCTCTAGGGAGGGTTGAGGAGGGTCGGGGAGTATCAGGGTGGGTCTCCTCTCAGTGTATATAAGAGGCAGGACTCCTCTGAGCCTTACGTGGTATCTGCGAGAGACTCTGAGAACAAACTGCAGTGCAGGACTCCATCAGACTTCCAGAATCTTCTACGACAGATCCGTTCCTGGGACCATGGACCACTCGCACCATCACTCCAGGATGATCGCCATGGGCCACACCAGCGCCCCCTCACACCATCATTCTGGGATGATCGCCATGGGCCACACCAGTGCCCCGGCCCCTCCACCTCACCCTCCGGCCACCACCGGGTCCCACTCCCATGGGGGCAGCGCACACACGATGCCCATGAACTTCTACTTCGGCTACAGGAATGTGGAGCTGCTGTTCTCGGGGCTGCTGATCAACTCAGCTGTGGCCATGGCCGTGGCAGTCGTGGCTGTGTTTCTGCTGGCCCTGGGCTACGAGGGACTCAAGAGAGTCCGTGAGGGGCTCCGTTCCCAGTGCTCGCCTTTCCCCAGACTGGACAGAACCCGCCCAAAGGAGACACCCTGGCTGCAGCTGCTGAGTGCCACTCACCTCCTGCAGACGGTGCTGCACTTGCTCCAGGTGGGCCTGAGCTACCTACTGATGCTGACTGCCATGACCTACAACGCCTACCTTGGCCTGGCTTTGCTGGCTGGGGCTGGCATCGGCTACTGGCTCTTTGGCGTGAGGAAGGCCGAGGACATGGATTCCCAGACCCATGACGTGAACAAGGTCGAGCTCCATGAGATTTGCACCTGAAACTCTCCTGGTCTGCAGGAATGAGCCCTCACCTCCTGTCTCTCCTGAGCCTTCTGGATCTCAGCGGTTCTAAGTTTAACTGCGCTCAAGACGTGACTGCTCCTGGAAACAGTTTTCTGTGAGTGCAAACACTCACAGGCGATGAAGCCCCTGGACCGCCCAACATCCTAGTCCACGTTCTGTTTCTTGTGTAATGCACGGACTCCATCCCTGGCTTCCCGGAGTTTATGCTTTCGTTTATGTATTGTGCTTATGATGGTTTCTTTTTTTCTCCTTAGTCATGAAAATTGTTGCCCAGTGAACCCAGAACCCAAACTTCACAATAAAACACTTTATCTTTTTAGCTCAATGTACTCTCTACAGCGTATCCTTGTGTGTGATGGTCTGGCCAGAAATTTCTAGCATGCATACAGGGTAGGGTGAGAAGACCAGGAGGAGGGGAGGAGCCCATGGATGTGTCTTCTGGGGGAAGTTGGCTCTTTCATGGGGTTCCTGCTGCCCCTTGAGTTGCAATAATGTTGTCAATCTGGGAAGATTCTCACTTGACCAGAGAGAACATACAGGGGGTCGGGTGCTTGCCTTGCATTCAGTTAGCAGTGTTCAATCCTGGTCTCCCAGGCTGTTGCACCCTCTTGGTACTGGTCCACACCTATGGGGTGTATTTGGAAATCTTATGTAGCACCGGGGAGCATAACCACCAGAGCTGTTGGATTCTGCTCTTGGCATATGTGACATGGAAAATTTGAACTTGCGACCACAGTCGTGTAAGGCAGGAGTTCTCAGCCACAGTGCTCTACCGAAGCATTCCTTATGTCTTCTGCTTAGGGTATTTATTATTTTTATTTATTTATTTATTTATTTATTTGGCATGGGGGCTAAACCCGCTGATGTCCACGACTGACTCCTCGTTAGTAATTCTGCACTTGTGGCAGGGCTAGGGAGACCATAATGGATGTCAGGAATCTAACCCAGGTCAGCAACAAGCAGGACATATGTCCTACTCTCTGTAATATGATTCAGGCCCCCAAAGCAATATTATTTGATCTTCACACTTGGTCACCCATTCTTTGTAATTGGATTATTCTGTGGCATAAAGACTGGTTCTTCCTGAGAGACAGTGCAATGGTCAGGCTTGCCTTGCATGTGGCTGACCAAGGTTTTTATTCCCAGCCGTCTATATGGTCTCCTGAGCCCACCTAGAGTCATGCCTGATCAAGAAGCCAGGAGTGAGTAAGCCCTGAGCACAGCCAGATTGGCCCCAACGTCCCCTCCCCAAAAAAATGGGTGCTACTCCTATAGGCCCACACTAGCCGATAACCTGTAAAAGGCCCACTTTCTAAACCATTACGGCCAGATTTGGATTCCACACTCAGTTTTCTTTGGCAAAAAACATTCAGTCACCAGCAATAGTTTCAGATTCATTTTTTTAAAAATTTATTTATTGAATCACCGTGAGAAAAGTTACAAAGCTTTCAGGTTTAAGTCTCGGTCATACAATGATCAAACACTCCTCCCCTCACCAGTAATTATTTTTAACTACCAAGAACCCAAATATCTCCCCCTCCCCCGATGCCTATGAGGCAGTTGATTTCTACTTAATTTTCTCTCTACTTTGAATACACTCATTATTTCGACAAAAGATGCACCATTCTTGTTTGGAATTTCTCCCCAACAATCAGAACTGCTGAAAAAGCATTCTGAAATAACTTGTTTCTTATTGCTGCTTATGAAAACTCTATGATGTCACGCGGCCGCTATTGTGGCCACGCGACTTTGGATTTCTGATGCTTTATTAATTGTCTGGAGGGATTTCTGCCAAGAGCCGGATAATTATGAGATTGGTTTTTGTGTGTCTGGTGCCATGGCTGTGCCGGAGAGCCGCTCGTGAGGGGCAACTCCTGGCCTCGTTGGGTGTGAAGGACAAGCTGGTTCTCAGATTCATTTTGATTCACTTGGATATCAAGCTCAACAAGAGCCTTGTGCATTGAATTTTGATATATGGATCACATCAAGGTCGACAGGCCTTTTCATTTCTATTCCTCATTTATTTTGAGGGGCTCGGGTTTCCCCCACGGGACTGGAGCCAGCAGAGCAGGGCCAGGCTCTGTATAGGGGGCCATGGAAGGGACAGAGCCCCACCCCAACCACAGCAGCGAGACATGAGCGCTCAATCGGTATTTGTACCCGTGAGGTGTTAGAAATTGCCTTTTTTTGTTTTCAGTTGTTGTTCATCGGTGGGTTGTTTACTCTGCGTTGGCTTCTTTGTTGTGGATGGTTTGGGGGCTACATGTTGGGATGCTCTGGGGATAATCCTGGCTCAGAACTCAGGGCTTGCTCCCGAAAGTGTTCAGGGAGCCCTGCATAATTACTGTCTTTGCTGTTATTCTCTAGTTGAAGCACTGTCATAATTTCCCTTAATTTTGGGGGGCAGAAATGTGATTGTTCCTTCAAGGACCTTGTCTTCTAAAACCACCATCTCAGATCATTTATAATAACTATACCCCAAGTGTATGGTCACATTTTTCTGTTCTTTTGGAAACTAGTCACACACATAGCTTATGTGATTTTTTTTTAATTTGGTTTATGGGCTGGAGCGATCGCACAGCAGTAGGGCATTTTGCCTTGTACTCGGCCAACCTGGCGACCTAAGTTCAATTCCTCTGCCCCTCTCGGAGAGCCCGGCAAGCTACCAAGAGTATCTCGCCCACATGGCAGAGCCTGGCAAGCTTCCTGTGACGTATTCAAGATGCCAAACAGTAACAACAAGTGTCATGATGGAGATGTTACTGGGCCTGCTTGAGCAAATTGCTGAACCACAGAAAGACAGTGCTACAGCACTATTTTGTTTATGGGGGTGATAGAACTACACTCAGTGATACTCAGGGATGAGTCCTGGCTCTGTGCTCAGGAGTGACTCCTGCGGAGCTCAAGGCACATTCCGTGTTGCTAGAGGCCAAAGGCTCTGGTTGCTTGCAAGTAAGGTAGGCACCTTATTTCCTGCACTATGTCTCTGGTCCCGAGTTTGTAGGAGTTATGCGTGGGCAGTCAAGTGCGGTAATGTGCTGCTTAGATTGTGTTTGGTATCTCTGGCTTTAATGTACTCTTCTTTTGGCCCACAATTTGGGGAGTATTTCACCCCAGGGCCACCTGGAATGAGGCGCTCTTCAGCCCCCATGTCTTAAGCTCATCTGCACTGAACCTGGTAAAGCCCCACCCTTGGAAACTGCATCTTCTAGCAACCAGAGAACTTACACTTGGCCCAACCCAGAGACTCAACCACAAGAATCATGGCATTTTGAAGTCAGTTTCAGCAACACTCTTGGGCTTTATTTTGCTTCATGAGAACCCACTTGAGAGGGCAGAGCGATGATACAGCATATAGGACACTTGCCTTGCACACAGCTGGCCTGCGTTCAATCCCTGGCATCCTATCTCAAGCAATGTCAGGAGCAATTCCTGAGTGCAAAACCCCAGGAACCCCTGAGCATCTCTGGGTATGACCCCAAACCAAAAAGAAAAATCACATTTTAGTCTCAGGAGGGAGAACTGCTTTTCCTACAGAAAGATAGATTCTCCTCCTATGTTAATGAAACCCTGATAATGCTGAGAATATTATTTCTCTTTTTGTTTGTTTTGAGATTTTAGCCATTGTGACCAGCAAAGCTGGTGTGAAGAGTTGATCTCTCAGTCAACTAGGGAGGGTCTCTTGGGAGGGTCTCTAGGGAGGGCCGAGGAGGGTCTGGGAGGGTCAGGGTGGGTCTCCCACCAGTGTACATAAGGAGGCAGGACTCCTCGGAGCCTTACATGGTATCTGCCAGAGACCCTGAGAAGAAGCTGCAGTGCAGGACTCCAGCATCCTTCCAGAATCTTCTACGACACTTCCATTCCTGGGACCATGGACCACTCGCACCATCACCCTGGGATGAGCACCATGGGCCACGCCAGCGCCCCCTTGGACCATCATTCTGGGATGAACGCCATTGGCCACACCAGTGCCCCGGCTGCCCCTCACCACCCGCCGGCCACCACGGGGCCCCACTCCAACGGGGGCAGCGCACACATGATGCCCATGACCTTCTACTTCGGCTACAGGAATGTGGAGCTGCTGTTCTCGGGGCTGCTGATCGACTCGGCTGGGGCAATGGCCGTGGCTGTCGTGGCCGTGTTTCTGCTGGCTCTGGGCTACGAGGGACTCAAGAGAGTCCGCGAGGTGCTCCAGCGCAAGGCCCAGGAGGACCTCCGTGCCAAGTGCTCCCCTTTCCCCAGACCTGACGGAACCCGCCCCAAGGAGACGCCCCGGCTGCAGCTGCTGAGCGCGACTCACCTCCTGCAGACGACGCTGCATGTGCTCCAGGTGGGCCTGAGCTACCTGCTGATGCTGACCGCTATGACCTACAACGCCTACCTCGGCCTGGCGGTGGTGGCGGGGGCCGGCACTGGCTACTGGCTCTTTGGCGGGAGGAAGGCAGAGGACGTGGAGTCCCAGACCCATGACATGAACAAGGTCGAACTCCATGAGATTGGCAGCGGAAACTCTCCTGGCCTGCAGGAATGAGCCCTCACCTCATGTCCCTCCTGAGCCCTCTGGATTGCAGCAGTTTTGAGTTTGACTGTGCTCAAGAGGCAACTGCTCCTGGACACTGTTTCCTGTGAGTGGAAACACTCACAGGAGATGAAGCCCCTGGACGCCCAACATCCTGGTCCACGTTCTGTGTCTTGTGTAATGCAAGGACTCCATCCCTGGCTCCCAGGGTTTATGCTTTCGTTTATGTATTGTGGTTATCATGGATTCTTTTTTTTCCTTTAGTCATGAAAATTGTTGCCCAGTGAACCCAGAACCCAAACTTCACAATAAAACACTTGATCTTTTGGGCTTGATGAGTGGGAACTCTCTACTGCATGACCTTGCGTGTGATCATCTGGCCAGAAATTTCTAGCATGCACACACGGTGGGGTATGAAGATCAGGAGGAGGGGCGCTGACCATGGATGTGTGCTCTGGGGGAGGTTGGCTGTTTCATGGGGGTCCTGCTGCTCTTTGGTTTGCAATAACCATGTCAATTTTGTAAGATTCTCACTTGGCCAGAGAGAACATAAGGGGGTCGTGTGCTTGCCTTGCGTGCAGTTAGCAGGGTTCAGTCCTGGTCTCCCAGGATGTTGCACCCTCTTGGTACTGGTCCATACCCAATGGGGTGTGTTTAGAAATCTTATGTTGCACCAGGGAGCATAAACACCAGAGTTGTCAGATTCTGCTCTTGGCATATGGGACATGGAGGATTAGAACTCGCGACCCCACTGGTGTAAGGCAGACGTTCTCAGCCACAGTGCTCTACTAAAGCATTCCTCATGTCTTTTGTTGTAGGGGGTTTATTATTATTATTGTAATGCTTGTTATTATTATTATTGGGCCAGAGTGATAACATAGTGGGTAGAGCATTTGCCTTGCATATGGCTGTCCCAGGTTTGATTCCTCTGCCCCTCTTGGAGTGTTAACGATAGTATCCCACCGCATGGCAGAGCCTGGCTTGCTCATTGTGGCGTATTCGATATGCCAAAAACAGTATCAACATGTCTCACAATGGTGTCATTACTGGTGCCCACTCGAACAAATCAATGAACAATGGGAGGACAGTGCTACAGTGCAGTGCTATCATTATTATTATTAGTTGGCTGGGGGCCACACCCGGTGATGTCCAAGGCTCTTCCTGAGGAATCACCTGTGGTGGTGTTAGGAGGATCATATCGGATGTCGGGAATCTAACCCAGGTCAGCAGCATACAAGGCATATGTCCTACCCTCAGTACTAAGTCCCAAAGGTTATAATATTTGATCTTCACCCGGTCACCCTTTCTTTGCAATTCAATTAGATGTGGCTTGCATTGCATGTGGCTGACCTAGGTTCAATCCCCAGCCCTCCATATGGTCTCCTGAGCCCATCAAGAATGATCCCTGATGAAAGAGCCAGGAGTAAGTGAGGAAGCCCTGAGCACAGCCAGGTTGGCCCCAACTCTACCTCTGCTCTCAAAAAAAAAGGGTGGTTCTCCTACAGGACAAAACTAACCACTCACTCTCAAAGGCCCAACCCTAAAACCATCACAGCCAGAGTTGGATTTCGCACATCCACTTTCTTTGGCAAAAACCATTCAGTCACCAGCAATCGTTTCAGATTCATTTTGATTCAACTGGATATCAAGCTCAACAAGAGCCTTGTGCATTGCATTTTGATACATGGATCACTTCGAAGCAGACAGGTTTTTACATTTCTATTCCTCATTTATTTTGAGGGGATATGGTTTCCCCGATGGGACTGGAGCCAGCAGAGCAGGGCCAGGCTGAGTCTTGGAGGCCATGGAATGGACAGAGCCCTGAGCCCAAGCACAGCGGCGAGACGCGAGCCCTTATGAAACCCTTCCCTTCTCAATCAGCATTTCAACCCATGAGGTGTTAGAAATTGCCTTTTCTTTTTTCATTTGTTGTTCATCAGTGGGTTGTTGACTCTGCTTGGCTTCTGAGTCGTGGTTGGTTTGGGGGCTACATGTTGGATGCTCTGGGGGCACTTCTGACTCAGAACTCAGGGCTTGCCCCTAGTGTTCAGGGAAACCTGCATAATTACTATCTTTGCTGCTATTCTCTAGTTGAAGTATTGTCATGATTTTCCTTAGATATTTTTTAACGAAAATGTGATAGTTGCTTCAAGAACCTTGTTTTCTAAATCTTCTATCTCAGATCATTTAAAATAACTATATCCCAAGTGTATGGTCACATTTTGGGACCATACTAGTTCTTTTGTAAACTAGTCACACATGTAGCATTTCTATGTTCAGATCTCCACTATTATCACCTTGTATGATTTTTTGGGGGGGGGTTTCTGGGGGTGGTAGAACCACCTTTAGTGATAATCAGTGACATGCCCTGACTCTGTGCTCAGGAGTGACTCCTGCAGAGCTCAAGGCACATTCCGTGTTGCTCGAAGCCAAAAGCTCTGGTTCCTTGCAAGTAAGGCAGGCACGTTACTTCCTGTACTATGTCTCAGGTCCCGAGTTTGTAGGATTTATGCTCAGGCAGTCAAGTGCGGTAAAGTGCTGCTTAGATTGTGCTTGGTCTCTCTGGCTTTAATGTACTCTGCTTTTGGCCCACAATTTGGGGAGTATTTCACCCCACAGCCACCTGGAAGGAGGCGCTCTTCAGCTCACATGATTAAGCTCATCTGCACTAAACCTGGTAAAGCCCTACCTCTTGGAAGCTGCATCTTCTGGCAACCAGAGATCTTAAACTTGACCCAGCCCTGAGACTCAATCACAATAATCATGGTATTTTGAAGTCAGCTTTCGCTTCACTCTTGGGCTTTATTTTGCTTCATGTGAACCCATTTGAGAGGGCAGAGAAACGTACAGCGAGTAGGGCACTTGCCTTGCACACGAATGACCTGGGTTCAATCTCTGACATCCTATCTCAAGCACTGTCAGGAGGAATTCCTGAGTGCAGAACCCCAGGAACCCCTGAGCATCTCTGGGTGTGGCCCCAAACCAAAAGAAAAAAAAATCACATTTTAGTCTCAGAAGGGAGAACTGCTTTTCCTCCAGAAGGACCGAGTGGAAACACTCACAGGAGATGAAGCCTCTGGATGCCCAACATCCTGGTCCACGTTCTGTGTCTTGTGTAATGCACGGACTCCATCCCTGGCTCCCCAGGGTTTATGCTTTCATTTATGTGTTGTGCTTGTGATGGTTTCTTTTTTTCCCTTTCATCATGAGAACTGTTGCCAAGTGAACCCAGAACCCAAACTTCACAATAAAACGCTTGATCTTTTGCGCTCAATGAGTGGGAACTCTCTACAGCATGTTCTTGTGTGTGATAATCTTGCCAGGAATTTCTGCATGCACACGCGGCGGGGAGTGAAGATCAGGAGGAGGGGCGCTGCTCATGGATTTCTGTTCTGGGGGAGGCTGGCTCTTTCACGGAGGTCCTGCTGCTCTTTGGGTTTAATAATCATGTCAATTTGGGAAGATTCTCACTTGGCTAGAGAGAACATACTGGGGGTTGGTTGTGTGCAGTTAGCAGGGTTCAATCCTGGTCTCCCAGGCTCTTTCCCCCTCTTGGTACTGGTCCATACCTGATGGGGTATATTTGGAAATCTTATGTAGCACCGGGGAGCATAAACACCAGAGCTGTTGGATTCTGCTCTTGGCATATGGGACATGGAGAATTAGAACTCGCGACCACACTCTGTAAGGCAGCGTTCTCAGCTACAGTGCTCTACCGAAGCACTCCTCATGTCTTTTGTTGTAGGGTAGTTATTATTATTATTATTGTTATTATTATTTATTTGGCATGGGGGCCAACCCCGCTGATCTCCACGACTGACTCCTAGTTAGTAATTCTGCACTTGTGGCAGGGCTAGGCGGACCATAATGGATGTCGGGAATCTAACCCAGGTCCGCAACATACAGGACATATGTCCTACTCTCTGTAATATGATTCAGGCCCCCAAAGCAATATTATTTGATCTTCACACTTGGTCACCCATTCTTTGTAATTGGATTATTCTGTGGCATAAAAAGTGGTTCTTCCTGAGAGACAGTGCTATGGTCAGGCTTGCCTTGCATGTGGCTGACCAAGGTTTTTATCCCAAGCCCTCCATATGGTCTCCTGAGCCAACCAAGAGTCATGCCTGATCAAAAAGCCAGGAGTGAGTCCCCTCCCAAAAAAAGGGTGCTTCTCCTATAGGCCCACACTAGCCTGCAAAGGCCCACATCCTAAACCGTCACAGCCAGATTTGGATTCCACACTCAGTTTTCTTTGGCAAAAACCATTCAGTCACCAGAATAGTTTCAGATTCATTTTTTAAAAAAATTTATTTATTGAATCACCGTGAGAAAAGTTACAAAGCTTTCAGGTTTAAGTCTCGGTCATACAATGACGAAACACCCCTCCCCTCACCAGTAATTATTTTTAACTACCAAGAATATCTCCCCCTCCCCCGATGCCTGTGAGGCAGTTGATTTCTACTTAATTCTCTCTCTACTTTGAATACATTCATTATTTCGACAAAAGATGCACCATTATTGTTTGGAATTTCTCCCCAACAATCAAAACTGCTGAAAAAGCATTCTGAAATAATTTGTTTCCCATTGCTGATTGTGAAAACCCTATGATGTCAAGCGGGCGCTATTGCGGCCACAGGATTTTGGATTTCTGATGCTTTATTAATTGCTGGTGGGATTTCTGCCAAGAGCCGGTTAATTATGAGATTGGTTTTTGTGTGTCTCGTGCCATGGCCGTGCCGGAGAGCCGCTCATGGGGGGGCAACTCCTGGCTTCGGTTGGGTGTGAAGGATGAGCCGGTTCTCAGATTCATTTTGATTCACTTGGATATCAAGCTCAACAAGAGCCTTGTGCATTGAATTTTGATATATGGATCACTTTGAAGCAGACAGGCTTTTTCATTTCTATTCCTCACTTATTTTGAGGGGCTGGGGTTTCCCCCCCGGGACTGGAGCCAAAAGAGCAACAGCAGGCTGTGTCTAGGGGGCCATGGAAGGGACAGAGCCCCGCCC